AGAGAAAATATAACTATTTCTTGAAATTTTCATCTTTCAGGATCTAGGTGAGTGCTCACTGGAAGTAAATAGAGCTTCATTTCCCTTCTGTACCTTCCCGAAGTTCAGAAAAGAGGCAGACAGTGAGCAGTTTAGTTTCATGTATCTTTTCGTACCCACCCCAGGCAGACTTCCCTCAGAGGTAACCATGTTGTCTCAGTGTTTTGCTGACTTTCTCAGCATGCAGGGAAATACTGGGCCTGGAGAAGGCCAGGCAGCAATGGGCATGGTAGCCAACCTGAAACCTCTGAAACTATCGGAAATCAGGGAGGAATGCAGGTGGAAAAACACACATGGAGGTTAATTGTGAAGGTCATAGCTTGACCAAGAGCGCTGAGAAGACCTGGTAACATACCAGCTACTAAGACTGTGATTATAAGTCCACGTTAGCCTCTATCAGACACCCTGGGAATGATGGGGCCCATATCCTGATATTTGACTAACTCTTCAGGTGATAATGTTTTGGACTTAAGTTTTAGAAATGCTGCTTTGGTGCAATGTGGAGATGGGTAGACTGAGATTATTTGGGAGGTTAAAACATCAGACGTGCTAAAATCCTTGCCTCAAACATCAACCTCCATGGCAAAAGGATAAAAAGGAAGTTGAAAGTATTGGGAAAAAACTGGGCAAGACTGTTAACAAATTACACCTTTAAAATTTGGTGAAAGTTAGGCATGTTTCCATAGAATCTTTCACTAGGATTCCTAAGTGAATAGTGTCCTAAGGATAGACCTTCTTAATTGGATGATGATGGAAAAGCTCTTTTATTCCCACCCCCATCTGCTAAAGCAAAAATCAGCTCCTCATTCCCTTCTAGCAAAGATGAATTGATGGCTTTTTTTCCAGATTGTCTGTCAGGAAGGGTCTTCCACAGTCCTTGGGGGTATAGGCTAAGGCCTTTGCCCTTTTGTAGCTCAGCAAAAGGATTTATATTAAAAATAAAGACTATTATCAGATTCAAATTATTTCCACTCTCTGCAAGATACCTGTAGTTACAAAGACAGATGCCATAATGTCTCTTCTATTTCACATTTAATGGTGATGGGGAGGTGTTGGCAAAGAACCCAGGCACTTGGAAAAGCATTTTGAATATTTCTACTCACCACTTTTAATGAAACAAAGTCAATCTTTGAAGAAGTATTTTTGTCTTTTAGCATAAATATTTTAAAGCCATTTTCGTAAATTAGCATAATTGAAAATTTCAGAATTATCTCCCATGGCCTTGCTCACACTTTGCACTGGTGTCTCTCTCTAGCATAGTGCTGACTTTCCCTGGGGACTTAGTCTTGTTATGATCCCTGTCTGGTGGTTGACAAACCATGTGACAATTTCTCTGCTGCAGTTTTGCACTCAAATAACAAGAAGGTATGAAATGTAATTAATAACTGTTTAAAAATTTTAAGCTTAAGACACTCATTCTCACAACATGGAGTATACTTGATATTAACTTGTGTCTAAGTATATTAGAAGCTGCTATATAAGTTTCAGATGTCTGCGGAACTTGAATAAGAACTAGAATGCTACTTTAAGAGAAAAACAAGCCCCATGGAAGAAAGGAAAAGGAATTGGTTTCCTTCCTCATTTGTCTCTTCTGAGGACTGAACTACAGCACACTTCTGCTTTCTCTTTAAAAGGACAGAAACCTCTTATTCTTTAGTTTTAGGGTGGGAAAAAGTGTTTGCCTTAAATAAACAGTGTATGCTGTACTCTAGACATACCAGGTGAAACTCAACCATAAACGAACGTTTCATGAGAAAACGTAGGATCTGCACTGCAGGCAAGGGTATCTGCTGACATGCCCTGGTCATTCAGTGAACCTCCCTTTACAGATACAGAACTATTGATTCTTGTTCACGTTCTATGTTATCTTTAAATACATGCCCTTTCAGCTACAACCTTCTTTATCACTGAAGGGTCTTACTTGTGTCATCTGATGACCTTACACAATTTCCGTGAGTCTGTTTTAAAAGCATCTCTCACTGGCCTGATACACACAATCAATCACTTTAGATTCCTTCTGGCTTTCCTTCTGAGCAGCTCTCATGCTGTGTCCACATATACAAGGACATGTAAGGTGCACATTTCCAGAAGGATGCAGGCACATTCAAACCGCATGAGTCTGAGATCACCACCAGCAGAACTGTGGCATGGACTACTGTGAAAACAAAGATTGGGATGCATATAGAATTGTGAGAAGATAATTAAAGGGACTGGAATATGAGAAAAGAAAGGGTCAAGTCTTAACTCTGTCACCTACCTAGATGAGGTGTTTCAGCTCACGTTTTAAACTGAGCTGTACTTTTCTCAATTGTAAGATGAGGATCGAGATAATAACAAGAATACATAAAGGGTCAGGGGTGTAATTCAGTGACAGCGTGCTATCCTGATATGCATTTGGCTATAGGTTTGACATCTACCACAATGGGACACACACACACACACACACACACACACACACACACACACACACACACACACACTCCGATGCACCTACACACAGAGAGACAGAGAGCAGAGATATTTAAATCAAATTTTCAGAAATCTGTGCAGAAGAAAGACCAAACACTACTGTGTGTGTGTGTGTGTGTGTGTGTGTGTGTCTGTGTGTCTGTGTGTATTCTCAAGATGATACCAAGGTTGCTGGAGTAAATGTTGCTTTCTACAATGATAAGTGCCTATCAGAGATGCGTGTGAATACATGGCATGGGCTGCCTGCACAGTATTCGGCTGGAGATGAGGTGTTTTGTATATGGAGAGGTCTATCCTATGAAAGTGTAGCGGACATGGATAGTGCCATGCTTCCTCAAGTATATTCTGCTCCCCTTCAATGTTTTTAAAAACCAGAAAGTGACACGTGCTTTAAGCATAAAACTTAAGTCTTGGGGAAACCTGTAAAATAAATTTTGTCTTTTTTTAGAGGTCAGAATCTTACAGTATATGAATTAGTGCCATTCACTCCAACTGGCTCAAGTATGGTGGTAGAGGGCATAGGACTAACTAATTTTAATGAGTGTGTTTAAAAATAATTATCAGTCATTCTGACCATAATTAGATTAAAAGGGGATATTGTTTTGCAAAAGGAAGATTATGTCCCTAGAACAAAATGCCATTCTTTATAGGGAAAGGCTCTAGTAGTTAGGAAAGCTCTTCACATTGTCTTTGAGCTTCTCATTTCCCTACCAAAGAGTGAAATTCTGCCATGGATTAGTAGATCACACTTTAGGACAACTATTTTCCATTAAAAGTCACAAACTCAGCACCAAGCAGATATGACCAAGCATATAAACTGCTCTCAGAAGGAGTGCAGGATAGTGATCTAGACCATAATGGGATGAGTCTAGGTTCAAATCCAGTTGCTGCTTCTAGTCATATGACCTTTCTTTTTATCTGTAAGCTTCATCACCCTCTGAACTTAATTGGGAAAAATGAAACCACCTGTGGATATTGTATGAATTAAATGTGGGGTAATTCTTCCAAGAACTGTCCCCGTGAGCCCTTATATCAGGTAAAAATGATTGTATCGGCACATTTCTATTGATTAGAATTAGCATAACATCTTAATTCTAATTTCTTCTTATTAACATCTTTAAATTTTCAGTAGTGTCTGTGAACTGGAGATTAAAAACAATATTTCCCTTTCCAGGCTATTGTACAATATAAATGAGACAATGTATGTCCATTTGTTGTTTGGCAAATATATAGCTGAAACTGAGTTGTAATACTCATTGTCTAGTCTGGAACTCTGCTTTAGAAATATTGTGAGAGGAAGGAGAATAAAACTAATGAATACATTTAATATATAAAATGCAAGTCTCCAGCTTCTCCCCCACCCAAGTTTGTGTTTCCAGCTGCCTGTTCAGTTTCCTCAAGGCACTTTTGTCTCCCATACCTCCTGCCTACCCGTCTGCACTGTGGTTAAGTTTGAAACCACACCCTTTTCATACTAAGATTATCTCTTGCAAGCTAGAAGTTTCTGATGATGGAGTATGATGGAAAGACAAACCCACCGGCATTACTGTGATCTTAATAATTTCTTAATAATGACCGAATAATTTCCTCATTCTGAGGAAGCTGAATAACTTGATGCAAAGCAGGTAATTTCTACTTCAGTAGTTTTTCTTTTACTATTCTAAAACTGAGCTATGACAATAGAGAAAGAATTTTAGACTAAACATGCTGTACAATAGAATGTAAGAAACGTGTAAGAGAAGTAAATGAAGAGTTGAAATGAACATAAATGAAGATATGACAAATAAACAAAAACTGACATAGTGCATGAAAATCACTTGCGTGAGACTGAGTAGCCTGAACACGCCTGAGGGACACACAGTTTCCTTTGACTTTCAGAATGGACCGTCCCCATCCTGTTGCTCCCCGCACCCCTGTTTTGCCCAAGTACACAGAGTGCCTAGGCAGTCATCAGATAGGGAAATGAGACTGTTGAGCTCGGAAAAGAGTTGTCACACTCCAAAATAGAGCTTGGAAAGTTTATCATCTCTGAGTGAATAGGAAAACTGACCATTTTTAGACTAATTAAAATTCAATGTATTTTCATTTGCCACTTGGGGCCCAGGTTTATTTCCCCCACCACACCATTAAAACCACAGAATCCATGAGTTTCTGACTAGTTTTCATGTAAGTAAGCCAAATGTAGTTTTAAGATTCTTTTAAAAAATCCTGTTATATTGAGTTGTGCTTAACATTTTTTGATAGAAATTGCATCTTTGAAATAATAAATCAACTTTTTTCATTTAATTTTGCTTTTTACGAATGAAATGGTCAACTTGGAAAAGCACAGTTTCCACTTCTGGTAAACCACAGTGCACAGTGGAATACTATAAGCCTGGGCATAAGCTTGACAGCTGCAGAGGAAAATATTTAGAATAAGGAAGACATGTATTATTTCTACATATTTTCCAAGACAGAAATTCATGTGTCTGCTGTTTAAAGATCGTACTTACACTCGGATTCTCCTTGGACTCATTTTCAAATCCGGTGTGTGGCGGCCGTGTTCCCTCGGTTTCCTCTTGTGCTCTAATGGCACTTACCTTAGGTGGACACTGAAAACATTAAATGCATCAAAATCAATAAAAAGCATAGAATGTTAATGGCTCATAGTGAGTTCTATGTAAGCGATAGATATATTTTTCATTATTATTGTATTGAGATGTTTTAATAAGCATGTCCATTTTGTAAACATGGTTTCTTAAAAGTTTTTAATTAGTTCTAAAATCATAAGTTTTGAGAATCTGTCATTTCCAAGTTGGTTATAATGATATAATACATTCTTCTTTTAATTGGTTTTACATTGGCAGTTAATCTTTAATATCCTTAACCATAGTGTAAAGATTAGCATTCGAGAATTAACACTCAGACCTATTACACAGAGAGACATCATTATTGCTGACAATAATATATATATTCCTGAAGGGAGTTAAGCACAGTTTTCCCTATTTACCTACATACAGAAAGCAAGATTTGTGGGGATTGTTAAAAAAAAGTGGTTGATAGTTGATTTGAGCACGGAATTGTACTAAAGGACACTGAGAGACAGTCTATGGGAAGGCTCAAGCACAGGGGCTTTTCCTTAGGAAGCCGTCCATCTGTACCACAAAGGCTTTCTGTGAGAGTTGAAAGTACTGGGCATATCAGGAGAATAGTTGGAACAACCAAGACAGGTCATTCTTGTCTACGTGTTTCACTCAGTGCTCATATGTGAGCGCAGTGGTAGGTGGACCAGGACTTCTGCAAATGCTCATGGCTTCCAGTGACTTTGTTAGCTCCTCAGAGAGAGCACTGGACATGGAGTCAGAAGATGGGATTCTCCTGATGGGAAAATCACCTTCTGCTGGGGAAACTGTGACACTTGTGCTGTGGTTTTCTCCCCAATGAAAGTATTGAATTTCTGACCTTAATTAATAAAGGCCAAACATTAATTATCAAGAAAACACATGACACCACCTTAAAGGCAGAAGTGCCGTTTTAACAAATTAAAATGCAGCTCAATGAGATCATAAGATTCAAATTGGACATCAAGCTGCTACTCCTCAAATGTGCCTAGATATTAATAATTTAGTAGCTAAAAAGAAAAGCCAAGTTTCTCATTGACCCTCTATTCACTAAAATAAAATATCTAATTTGTAAGAATATATATTTTCCTCATGGGATGCAATAAAATTATTTTCATTTTCAATGGGAAAAGAAGCAACATAGTAAATTCTTATTTTTCCTGAATTGGCCCCCAAGCTATGATCATTTGCTTCGTTGGGGTTTTGCCTTAATGCCATCTTTGCAGTCTATGTGATGTTAGGATGAAAAAGTGTTCTAATATTGTCCTGACCTTTTAGCCCTGTAGTAGGCCCAGACAAGAAGGTGCTGAAGCAATTTGCATTACTGTGTGCTCTGTGCCATGAACTTCGTGGAATCTTGGACTAAAGAGATTCCATCCAAATGCTCGTAAACAATCAATATTTTCTGCAGGACACCCTTATGTTTGCCAGAATACTACCTGTCCTGCATAAGAATAGAAAAATCACTACACTGAAAGTTGGGTTAATTAATATATGAGTTAAGTCAATTTAAAATTAAATTTGGCAGCAATACAATTTGTCTTTTTTTTTTTACCCTTGTTGCCTGCGATGACTTCACAAGGAGCACCCTAGAGAGAAAACTTCCTTAAGTAGCAGAGCTTTTTTTTTTAGGAATCACTACTATTTATTAGAAAGTGGGTATTTCCCCCATCATATCCATAGGGTAAGCAATTGTTATTTTTGAGCTCTAGGGAAGTATAATCAGAGTTTCCTTGTTTTGTGGTCATCAAAAGGCTGTTAATTATTAGTAAATTCATTTGATGACTGCTTTAAAAAGGAGGAGGGAGTTAAACAATAAAAGGCTAAAATTTTAAATCAATATTACAGTTCACATTTTTATTGCTGTGAAGAAATGTCCTGCTTATATACTTAGGCATCTAGAATATTCCATTAATATAGGTAGGGCTTGAACTAATCCAAGCTGTGCCAAAAGTTTGGAATTTGGAGATAAGTACAGTAATAGCACCTGTAGCCCCATTAGGTGTAATGCCAGGCTTAAAGTGTTCAGGTAGACCAGTTGTCATGCCTGTGGAAAGGGGCTCTTCATTCCATATGTTAGAAAAGCTTGAGCATCCACAATGATTAATTTTCTAATTATGTTTTTTAAGGACTAAATGTCACTGTCAAAATGTTATTAATTGGAGTAGCAGAGAGACCAGGGATAGTTGTCGTTGGATTTGATTAGATTCCTGCCCACAGGAATCCTGCTTCCTTGCCAATATCTTGATAATACCCTGTAAGGACACAGGATATAAGGGTGTCCTGAGAAGTGACTGAATCATGTTGCATCCAACACACAGTAGACCACAATGAATGGTAGCTGTTTTTGGTGCTAATCTCCTAAATTAGGAGGTTTTAGCTTAAAGAAAGAGTTACTATTTGTATGAGTTGTTTCTAATTCTGGTCTGTACTAGAAAAATACGAAAAACCTTGCCCACAAAGGTATAAATAGCACCCAATTAGCTTTATCCTAGTGCAAAAATCAGAAGGATCACTGTCCTTCAGGATCCATGATAGACTGGTTTAAGGACCAAAAACTGGACAATAAATTTTCACATATAAAATAGCATAACATTTTATTGTAACAAAACCACATCCTCCTGTATACTACATGTAGGAACTACTATAATGTTATTACTATTTAAAGAATTGTTTTTATTTTTAATTATGTGTAGGCACATATGTCAGTGGTATGTACGTGTAAGTACATGTGGAGGCCAGTGGCATCAGATCCGCCCAGGGCTGGAGCTACAGGCAGCTGTGAGTCCCCTGACATGTGTGCTGGGATTTGAACTTGGTCCTCTGCATGAGCAGTATGTGCTCTTACCAGCGGAGCTATCTCTCCAGCTACTGCAAGTGGTATTTAATTATGTACCGGGCTGGATTGGTAAGGGAACGGTGACAGGAAAAGCAGCCTTCCCATATTCAGTGCAGATTTAATTTTTCAGAAGGCCATTTTCAGTACCGGTGCAGAAATTTTAGGCTGCAGACCCCACATGCAATGGGCTGTCCGCTTCACTTTGTGATTTAGAGGGGCGGGGGTGACACTGGAAACGGTCCCGCTTGTTTAGCTGGAGTGATGGCTCTGCTGACTCACTGGAGAACACTGACTGCAGTCTGAAGCAGGAGAATGGACGCGATAACCCTCCAAGTGAAAACTGAGTATTAGTTTGGAGGAAGTGTTGCAGAGAAGTGTCTGAGAGTTCAGGGGCAATCACGAATTGATACTTTAAAACTTCAAGCTTTACTGTGGCAAAAGTCACTTCAGGAAAAAAAAATGTCAGCATCTTTACAGCTGAATGAGTTTTAACTCATCCCAGCATGAGCATAGAAAGCTGTCTGGATTTGCTGCAGAGATGGGACAAATGTGTGACTGTCCTGTGTAACCCTGAATGGAAAGATGGGAAGTTAATATGTATTCATAACATGTTTTCAAAAAGCAAACAAGTCGTAAAACAGTTAGAAAAGTTTTCATCTTATTACCCGAAAATTGACACATTTGTCCTAAAAGCTTATTAATACAACTTCTAAGGATATAACCATTCTGAGGATAGTTTGTATATGCTGACATAGTAGAATTCCTAGAGGGCTGGAGTTTGTAAAGTCCTTATTGGTCTTTCTCCCAATATGCTATTGTAATAAAGAGAGTAAGGAAGTTTGCTTAGGAGAATTAATGGCAAGAGAAAACTCGCTGCATAAAAGCAAATATCCTATACACACAGGAGTGAACACACACATGTGCATACACGCATGAACATACACGCACAGTCTCCCATGCATGGCACCTGTGGGGAGTCTTTAGAACACTGATAAGAGTTCGTAAGACCACATTTTGTTTGAGGGGTCAGTGGCTGTCATAGAAGACTGAAATAAAGAGGCAGCACTTAAGCTAACCTGGAGATTGTACAGTCTTTAAAAGTGAGGGATAAGCACTCTGAAGCTGACTGAAAAGACTGTACAACTCAGCAGGCACCCCAGGCTTCAGCCTGTGGCCTGCTCTGCCTCCCCTGTCTCCTGGGTACCCTCTTCAGACCTGCTGCCTTTCCTTCTGGCTTCCTTGGAGCTCCTGACTCTGTGCTTTTCCGTGCTTGTAACCTCCCATGGGTTTCGAGGGCTTGTTTTGCATTTGTCCTTAAAATGTGGTGTCCCCAAAGCTCTGTCTTAGATGTGTAGCTTTTCATTTTAATGTCCTATGCCTGATTTTTAAAATTCCCTCTTTAACAATTTTGTACTGTTAACTGTTAAAATTGCACTGAAGTTTTTCTAATTTTTAAACCTCGTATCAAAGTCTTTTGAGGCATGGATGTCTATATCAACGTTGATAGAACATCACACATGTAGATAAAACAAAATACATCATTTCTTGCCCCCCCATTCCTCTCTAAATCTTTCTGTTTCAAAATATGCTTAGGCTATTTTTAGCACTGATCAAATCCTTAAACTATTATCTTTAAAATAATTTCCAGGCCGTTTTGTCCTATTCCACCCCCAGCAGAGTGGCCCTAATTGATTCTCTTTCTGTTGCTGCAATAAAACTCCTCCTGGCTTTCCTTGATTTTGTATCCATGCCACTTTCAATCTAATTTTCATCCTATGTTTTCAACAAAGTGAAATGAGAAATTTGATCATTGTTATCCCTTACATTAGTTCTCACCCCCCCACTTGTCTTTAAGATAAAATGCAATCCTTTTAATTCAGCTGGCACATCAGCTACTTGGTAAGCTATTGGCAGCCTGCAAACCTGATGGGGGAAATCCATGTATCTGCAGTTCCCCAAATCACCATGTTGTTTCAAGCCCCAGAGGTTTTTATTTTTATTTTTTATAAACAATCTAGTTCCTTCCTGCAACATAACTAATGTCTTTCCTTATTTACGCAGCTTTTTATGTCATATCAGTGACAACTCAAGTTCTCTTTATGAAGACCACCTCCCTAGGAACTGTTGCTGCTTCCCACTTGGGAGCACCGAG